CAGCTGTTGGAGTATTTAAATAGTAGTAGTTTGTCGATACCAGAACAATCGGGATATCGGGAAGGTCATTCTTGTGAAACCGCGTTAAATTTGGTATTAGCGAAGTGGAAAAATAACTTGTAGTGTAAAAATACAATTGTTGCTGTTTTTTGGATCTAACACGCGCTTTTGAAACAATTTCTAGGCCCTTATTGTTAAGATCAGTCAAGCGCTTTGGAATTACGAGTACCGTAAAACGGGGTAACATTGATAGTTTTTTTAAAGTATATTCTAAATATTTTTTACAGCAATGAATGTTTTTCAAATTTTATATTTTTAAAACAAGTACTGAGGATCCAAGAGCTAATTCGTTAGTAATATGTTGAACGAAAATTAAAGCATTTGCACTATTTTTTTAGTTTTGTGACCAAACTTCAGCGTTTTGATTTGGAGTTACTTTGATAATGATCGATGAATGTAGAAAAAAAATGAGTGAAACTCAAACAATTTAGTTCTTTAAATATGAAACTTTGAATGAGTATAAAATCAGAAAACTTTATAAGCAATAATAATTCAACATTGAATTTGTGATGGCTGTATCGGAAAAAGATTTCATAAGTGATAGTTTGAGTGCTTTTTCAAAAAGGCGAAAAACACAAAAATCATTTTTAATATTTTTGTAAAATATGTAACACATACTATATACAACTATATACAATATCAACGGAAATACCCTAAGCTACAATATGGAACCAATGTTTCTTATTTGGAAAACGCACAGCGAGTAAATTTATTCTTTATATAATACCCGTTTTATGGTACTGCATATAAATGGTTTGAAAGCTATTTGTCTGACAGAAACAGACAGACAGTGCCCCAGGGAAGTGTGTTAGGGCCGCTGTTATTTATTATGTATGTTAATGACTTGCAACGTGTTTTACGATTTTGCGACATTAATATTTTTGCAGATGATATTGAAATTTATTTATTTATTTATTTATTTCGTCAAGCAAAGTAGACTACATACAATGGTTACAATGTTTTACTTACATACTATGCAATATTTCTATTATGTTTTAGTTGGGTTTTAATTTCTTCTTTTGACATAGTGATGCTAATGACTTCACAGTGTAGATTATACTGTCGCATCATTCGATTGAAGGGGCCATTTTTTGCGTAATTTGATCTGTGTGATTTTTCTGAGAATAATTTTCGTGTTCTTAGATGCCGACAGGGTGTGTAGAAGTTCAATTGTGAAAGTATTTCTGATGATTCTATGCGATGTGAAATAATGTCATTGATGAAGAAAAGTATTGCAAATTCGCGGCGTTCTTTGAGTGTTTGTATTGTCGCGCTTATGTTAAATTCTCATTTGATGACGGTCGAAGCGCGCTGCAAACCCGCTCATAAGGATTCTACACAGTAGTGTAACTTAGATAGTATTTTATGGCAGCGGCTTGAGGAGCGAATCATGAATAAAGAGCCGCCGCATGTTAAATCAATGGGCGCAGTCGTACGGCCATAAAAAGAGAACAGATGGTATAATAATGAGAATGTATAATGTATAATGAGAAATTATCCTGCCACACACAATAAGTTGATGAGCATACAGCGTGCTTCATATGATGGAAGAGGAAATGCGGTCTAATTCAATTTGCAAATGGCATATTAAAGGAATTGTTTTTGGACGGATTCTATGCGTTCCTCGTGTATGGCAATGTACGGATTCCATACTAGGTTACAGTATTCCAGAATAGGTCCTACGTATGTCCTGAAAATTATAGCTGAACCTCTTAATGAAGCCCAACATACTATTTGCTTACGTTATGATTGTATTATAATGTTCTACAATAGTGAGTTTGGAGTTTAGGATCACACCTAAGTCCCTTACAATTTTACATTTTTTCTACTTTTTGGTTGCCTAACAATATTTCAAAAAGAGGTGTTTCTATTTTTCTGCTAAATACAATTGCGTTGCATTTTTTTTTACATTGAGTTTGAGTAGACTTTTACTACACCAAGTGTTGGATAAGTTGATTTCATTCTGGAATTCTTCTGTGTCGATAGAATTACTTATTTCCATGAAGAGTTTCATGTCGTCTGCATATATAAGAACTTTTATTTTTTAAAGTATGTAGGAAATGTGGTTTACGTACAAAATAAAAAGAATTGGGCCTAAATGAGAACCCTGGGGTACCGAAATAGGTTCTGAAAGTTTATTCTGAAAACGAACTATTTGTTTGCGTTGCGTTAAGTATGATTGGAGCCAATTCAGAAGTCTAGATTCCATTCCTATTTTTTGCAATTTAAAGAGTAATAATGGTACGTCGATTCGGTCAAATTCTTTACTGAAGTCAGTATAAAGAGCTTCCACGTGCTTGCCATTGTCCATTGCGTTAAGAATGAAGGTTACAAATTCAAGAAGATTAGAGGTAGCTAAACGACCTTTAAAAAAGCCGAGCTGTTTGTTTGTAATTTGATTTTTTACTTGCTGAAAATTTTTGTCGTTTACTATTGATTCAAAAAGTTTTGGGATGCAAGAGATAATGGCAATTTCACGATAATTAAGGATGTCAGATTTCTTGCCTGATTTGAAAATAGGCACCAAATGAGACAATTTTCAAATTTCAGGGAATTTTCCATTTTTCAGAGACATATTGAAAAGGCGTTTTAATGGAAGGGTGAGTTGTTCTGAAAGATTCTTCAAGAATACAGGTGCAGTTCCATCAGGTCCTGGTCCTTTAGATGCGTCCAAATTTTTTAGTGCATTGAGGACTTCATGTTGACATATTTGATTGACAGATATGTTGTTAGAGACTTCGGGAATGAATGCGGTCGCGGTCTTTTTCAGAAAATGTGGTGTATACTTCCTGAAAGAAATTTGCAAAGAGATTGCAGATTTCAGAAGGATTTTCACCTACATTTTCATCAAAATGCATTTGTGACAGAAAATTATTACTTTTAAATTTCGTTTTTACATAATTGAAAAAGTTCTTAGGACATGTTTTGACTTCATTTTCGACTTTACGATTATATTCCTCATGTGCAGTGTTAATGGCTATGTTAGTGTTGTAAATTTTTGCTCGTGCATTCCTTTTTGTATAATTTGTGTGCTTTCTGCTTTTTGTTCTTCAAATGTTTTAGTTGTGGATTGAACCACACTGGCAGTTTGTTGTTTTGTGTTCACCTTCTTCTTTTTATTGGTACGGTTCCTGAAATTATGCCGCGAATAATTGAATGAAATCTACCAACTTCAGTGTCGACATTTCCTTCAATACTTATTATATTTTGCCAATTTATTGTACATAGTATACGTCTGGCTTCTTCGTAATTTGCTTTATGATATTCCGGCACTTCCTCGTATTCCCAGTCACTGGAGGAAGAAGAATTTTGTACGAAGATTGAGTATTCAATTGCTGTGTGAAACACTTCATTTTTCCATAAAGGTGCTAATGATGTATACACACAGAAGTTTGTACTGAAAACTGTACTGTAAATAAAAGGACTAAATATGAGTTTTGTTGATTTCTCACGTGGTTAATTTGATGTAGACCTAAATATGAGATTTTGTCAAAAAGAAATTGTAATGTTTCGTCTTCACCTACGATTGGAAGTAAAAATGATTCGTTTTCAATGTCTGTGATAAAGTCTGCGTTGCGTTGGTTGAAGTCGCCATAAATATGCAGTTTTACCAAAGATGAATACTAAGATGAAACTGTCAGAAGAAAAACTTTCTATTTTAGTGTCCTCTTTCACGGTCCCTTTCATCCATTGAATACCCCTCGTATTCAAGGTAATTTTGTGGTAGAGATGAAATTTTGCGCTCATTTTTATCAAAACAAACACACCAAAATCAGAGGTGTCCCATTTTTTAATTACTCGATTAACAAGTAATCGATTTTTTTTTGATCGCTGTGCTGCCATTTTTCCACCAATGAGAGTGCAACACATGTTTGAAACGATCGGTGATGATCCTCTGCAGAAGTTAATGCTTATATCGGCATGATATAACCGATTGCAAATATTTTACTTTTCGGTTCGTTAATCGATTAATCGATAATTTCTAATGAAAACCGGCCATCACTAGATGAATGTGAAACGTCATTTCAAATATATGGACCGTACATAAATAATGGTACAATTTGAAAGGGACCGGGACTCATCACAAATTACATCCATACGGTAACTGAAATAAACACGAGTGTTCACCGGTTGGTTTCTGGTTCCATATTTGACATGACAGTTTCGACAATTTGGAAAAATGATTCAAAAGAATTTTTGTTCCCATGTTCAGGTGGGAAATACACAGATGATGATGAGACTATTGATCGCGTTCGGGAGATTAAATATCTTAGTGTGATTATTGAACTTAAGTTCAACTCTCATATTGACAATGTCATCAAGAAAATTGCCAAGAAGTATGGAATTCTATGTCGACTGAAAAACCATTTTTGGTCAATAGCAAAAATAATAAAAAAAAAAAATTTGAAATCCGTTATGTTTGGAACTGTCTATGAGTTTGCCATCACATTAATATTCCTTCTTTTAAATGAGTTCTAAAATGTTTGAAAATTCCTTAAATTATTGTAAAGTTGCTATTCAAAATTATTTCTAGCTGGTGGCACTATTAAATCTATATTGTAGATAGGGTCCAAAATACAAGAAAATGTATCTATAAAAAAGCAGCATGTCGAAAAAAACTACAAAATCGCCAGCATTGCTTCAGGCACTAATAACTTACCCTCATAGGGAAATCACAAACAAAGAGCTCCCATACAAAAATAAAACACTCAATTAACACGGCAACTTACAGGTAAATTTATCCCAACAAAGTGACTCTAATGACCAGGAGCTCTATTAAAAAAGTAAAAACAAATTCCTCGCACCTAAATCTTTACTTCTCCCAGATACTCTAATGAGGGTACCATATTAACCCAAAACACGAAAAATCTTTTGTAGGATTCTTGTCAAAAGGCTTCGTCTAAACCTTTTTTTCTCTCTCTCTCTATCTCTTTCCGCAGGTTACGGTGGCATTTCTCCGCGAACGCAATGGGGTAGAATAGCAGCGCTAATTTATGCTTTGTTTGGTATTCCGATTATCCTGTTGTACCTCTCGGCAATGGGTGAAGGTCTATCGGGAGCCATGCGGTGCCTATTTCGCCGTATTCGACCATCGTCGCATTCGTCATCCAACAGCGCAAGCACTAGTTCAAGTCTAAGTGGCAACTCGGCAATAAACAGTAAATCTTCTAGCTCGGAGCTGCAGAAACGGTCACAACAACAAAGCACCAACTACCATCAGACTTGGACTGGAATTCACGATCCGCATGGATACGGTGGAGTTGGAGGATTAAGTAGTAGTAACATGGGAGGCAATGGGGGAGGTCACACGGGGAGCAGCAGTAGCAAACATAATCAATCAGTCGTACCAATATCAATCTGTATTATGATACTGATTTGTTACGTCACATTGGGCGCCGTTCTGTTTCATAAAATACAGCCCTGGGGAGTGCTGGAGAGTTTATACTTTTGCTTCACCTCTCTCGGGACAATCGGCTTTGGAGATCTAATGCCAATCGGGAACATTGCTCAGTATGCTGCCTCAGCATACATAGTAGTGGGAATGGCCGTAGTAGCTATGTGCTTCAGCCTCATACAAACAGAGCTAATAGTATGGCTGAAAAAATTCGCCACTCCAGAATCAATTCCCTCATCGACGGAGGACGTAGCGCTGGTGTCAGTAGCAATGACTCCAATAAAATCCTGACAAAGGCCTAGTGATATCCTTCCTAATGAGTACAACTCATTGCCACGTCGATCGAGTGCATTTCAGCGAAACACACCAGTCAGACGTTCGACAGGGATAATGGAAAACCATGTAGAATATTTCGTACCAAGGAGTGTGAGTGAATTCAATTTATCCGGCGTGGGCGATCTGGCTTTGCCACCAACCAAGCGTAGCATGGTAACTCATGCCGGCAGCTCTACAATGATTTCGATACCGAAGCCGCGTGAAAAAATGGTAACGTTTGAGGATGAATCAAAATGTCCCCACGGACTACCGACCACGCCCCGAAAATCTACAATGACAAACGATGTGTTCATGTGACGAGAGGGTTCCTGAGACGAAAGCATTCAATGCCCTGGAGACATTATTAAAGTCTGATAGCAAACGTCATCACCATCGCTTACTCGCACTCCCCCATCATTCCTACGATTCCCTTCTAACAGTGGGCATTGACATTCCATTCATACATACCAACATTGGATACGAGGTCAGCAGATACCAACAGAACCGAAACCGCATGTGGCCAAAATAAACAGCAAAACTTTCCAAAAACCCATTCTAGTGAGAAGAAAGCTATTGAGACAGAAGAAAATATTCAATTCATATAACCGTAAGCAACATACGAAAAACGATTTTCTTTCCTCCATGGCTTTTGTAATAATAAGAATGATTGTTCACGGTGTTTTGATATGTGACTAGATTTTAATACACAGGAGAAGCAGCGTTGCGAAAATATTGAAAAGAAAACGAACCCAGCATAGTTAAATCAACAGGAAGGAACAAAAACATATTGTGCATGACCCCTCGTCGAACGAGTAAACAGAAATAACGTCTAGGGTTACATTTCATGATTTCCTTTTATTGAGTTTTTTGTCAAACCGATAAAATATTCATATTGCAGCGGGTCAAGAGTGTACATCACTCCCACACACGTTAGACATGGAATAAGGAATACATATAAAATAGCCAAGAGGAAAAATCTTTAAATAAATTGAAACTGACAAAAAGATAAGTGCGATTTTCTGGTGTTTTATTTCTTATTCAATTCAACAAATACCTAGGTATCTAAATAAAAAATACATTCTGGAGGTTTCAGGTTATTTGGTTGCATCGCGCAGGATTTTCAGTCAAAACAGTGTGCGGCTTCAATTCGGCATACTTCACACGGTGTCTCGGGCAGAACCATATTATTTTCAAACAATCAGTATCGCTAAAACACCCACCAAGCGAAAGCTGAGTGCTGCGTTTTCATTTGAGGCTAATTTAAAAAAAATATTTTTCCATACATTTTTTGGGCTTACCATGGTGGAAATTAAAACAAGGCAACTTTAAAAATGAACGGCTGCTCCCAATTTCAAAGAATCAGATAATTTCAAAACCAATGCAATGTTTTAGAAGTCACAAGATAGAACCAAGTGTAGGAAAAACAAATTTATTTATTTATTTATTTACTTATTCATCTGACTTTTTACCGTCTTAATGAATGTGATGGGGGATAGCTAATTTAACTGGCCTAAAAAACATATCTTTTCACAATACAGTACAAACATTATAATACAAGCACATCCGTGAAAATAACATAGATTAAACATGGTTTCAAATTTCAACTGTAGTCAAAAGATAAAAAACTTATAATTCAATCAGTTCTATTGGACATCCATCATCCGAAGCAATCCCCGTCGGCCGTCGTGAATCGAGAAAAAAATGCAGGAAGCATAATCGTTCCTTATTTAGGAGCAATGGAATATTACTCACCGTTCACAGTAACGATTCTCAATCGATCCATTAATGCAATCCAGTCACTCTACGGTTAAATGTTGCCACAATAGAGTTGAAGTCGAAGAGGTTGTAGACATCGTTGAACCTAGCCGAGATGAAGCGGACAGGATCATGAAGGCCATACAAGCATGCTTGGCATACACAGTTGTACACACCAACTGCTCATTTGTTAATAACTTTTTACTCAGTTGTTGAAATTTGTTTTTCTTTAAAGTAATTGATAGATTAGGATAGATATGCAAAAAGTAGATACATCTTAACATTTGAATCAACACCAATGAATTTTTACTCTTAAAGTCCAAGATGTGCAGCGACCCTATTTTGATGGTTTCTTTCTCCATGAAGAAAACCAGTTCGGTTGATAGTTGAACGAATAATAATCTTTATTAAATTTCAATCTTATCCTCCAACTCCTTTGTAGTCTAGTTGGTGGGGGATCTTGAACAACCATTTACTTTTCAACGAATCAGAGGACGGTAAAGCATACGGTCGAATGCCAATATGTGTACGCGAGTACACTAGTGGTAGTTTCACTCTAAGCGCTGTTGGTGTAGGTTAGTATCGAGTCGGAAAGAAATGGAAAGCAAAGCGCATTGGATAATTTCTCTGGAATTCGAATCCATGAGTCCGTTTGTCGTTTGGTGCACATGAACAACAACTATGCATCGACACTTTGATGCCTGGGAACACAAGTGCATTGGCTTATTGCAACACTTGTGTGGTATGGAAATAGTCGATTGGCTGTGAATTGACATGACCCAGATTTGGTTGTGGGAACATGCTCTGTAAGGAATATGAGAAGGTGTCCTACACTTTGTGTGTGGGAACTTCCAAGAAGTGTGTAAACATTGGGTTCAAAAGGGTGGTTAATTTATTAGAAAACTTCAAGATCGCAGATGCATGATCTTGGGAAAATCTGTTACAGTACACTATCTCACTTAATTTTTACAACGCAAAAACAAATACAGTTTATGACTAGAATTAAAATCTACTTTGTTTTATGCATCTATAACAAGCTTAAATTCTATTCCATCTACTGCTTCAAAAAGCACTATGTTGCGTCAACTCTGTGTAAAGTTATTAGCAAATGAGCAGTTCGTGACCAAAACTGTGTATGCCATGCATGCATACAAGGAGTTCCGGGGCTCAAGCAGCAAAAAGTTTCGTTGGCGAAGCAATCGTTCAGAAACGTAAAGGTTAAGGTAACCTAGTATCTCCGGTGCGTCAGTTTCTCCTGTGAGAATTTTAGCAACAAACACCGCCTGGGCATATTTCCGTCTCTGCTCAAGCGTCTGTAGTCCCAATAATCTGCATCGATCTCCATATTGTGAAAAGTTCAACGGATCTCGCCACGGAAGGCGTCGTAGGGCATATCTCACAATTTTTCTCTGGAAATGTAGTATCCTCGTTCGATCATACAAAACTGTATACGAAATTGGTAATTTTCCAAGTATGATTTGAACCGTTGCTAGCGAAAATGGTGCAAATCCACTAAAGAAAATCTTACAGGAGACGCTCTTATTCAAAATACTCTAATAATAAAATATATTCATAAAATTTTATCAACTAATATTGCAGTCACCATATTGGATTCCAAAATGGCATCAATCATTTATTTCTGGCCTCTACATGTGGAATGTTTGGATGTGACACTTGCTTTGTTGGAAGCCAAGAAATCATCTGCACTTCCTCGAGAAATCACTGGACTGTTGGATAAAAAGGTTGGGTATGCAACAAGGTTTGTTTTTTGGCAAACGGTACGCTGAATTACAGTGCTGAATTCTATGTGGAAAAAGCAACACGAATCTTGAATGTGGAGGGGCATTAGATCAATCTCATGATGTTCTGTTCAGTATACAAAAACGATCGCTCTCAGGCCACCAAGCCCCTCATATCACAACACACCACTTATGATCGAGACGACAAGTTTCACAAAACACGGGTAGCAAGTGCTGTGACTATGAAACTTTAATATGATGGGACCTGGGTTTGATCCCACGGTAAGTAAGCTCAGTAAGCAAAAACGGCTGTCTGAGGCAGCCGGAACCCTTTGTATCATAACACACCACTCTCAATGGAGTTAATGCTATATATGTTCAAATCCGACGGTGATGCCTCTTACCTCCATGCCTCAATTAATTGTAGGATAATTAGTTATTAATTAATTAGGAAGATTATATTCTTCTGACATGCTCCATATACTCCTCAGTAGGCAACATTAGTATACTTTGTGCTTTGATCAGAAATTTCTTTGTAATTTGTATGATCATTCATGTCGGTTTGCGAGGGGGACGAAAGTAATCTGTTCTACACTTATTTTAATTGCTTTTTTCTCGAATTTCTTTTGGATAAATTCGATTCGTTATGAATTAACGAAAGGCGTCGATATTATTCGATTTCATTCACTATTTATCGATAATCCTGAATGTGTTAGAATTATCGAGCATTATGCTGATATTATTTTTAGTGTGTAGTGTGATGTGAACTGTCATTTCCTGAGCACCTGCTTTTGTGATTTTTTCAAACCCTTCAAGCTTCAAGTTCCAACTCTGGAAACAACGAAAATATCTGCACGGAGGGTTGTGACCTAATTGACTACCGGCATTGATGGCCAAACGTGACCAAACCATAGATGCCGTATCGATGTTTACGTTCACCGGATGCCAGGGTAGTCCAAATCATAGTCCGTGATCTTGAAGCGACTATACCCAAGGCAAAGATGAATGCAGTTCCTCTTTTTTTTTAAATATTTCTAGAAGACTTCCTTTACATAATTTTTATGTTGGTTTGTGTGGGCGTGCCTTGAATTCCTAGTAATCATCGAGAGAAGTCATTGTTTACAAAAGCTGTTACGTACTACTTCCAGCTCTATCTATAGATTTGTTTTAGAACAAAGATTTTCGAGCTCGACCAACAATACAGAAGGGCGGATCAAACAAATTGTAATGACCTTATCTCGCATACCGAAGCTCACCTATCCAATCGAACACCACTATCGAATAGCAGAGAATTATTGTTGTTGGTTTGGCAAGGCAAGCTTCGGTTCACGAGGAAATAGCATTAAAAATTTGATTACAAAAGCTTATTCGTCTTTTTGTATTGTTGGTCGAGATTTCGTGTTCCTTTCTTGTAAACAAACGGGTGTCACCGTTACTTGTCATGATAATTATAGATATGTGATCCTTTAACAGAGATTTGAACGATACAAACAGATATTATCCGTTTTTATAGATTTAAGCTCGATTATACCCGATATAGTCGATAAAATGTATTTGTCCATGTTTGAATAAATCTGGGCCTTTCGTCTCCCTCGTCGGTTTTGAAATCATAAAATGGGTGAAAAAATACCCATTTAAAGAATCAGTTCACGGTTGAATAATGGGTATATTTTTTACCCATTAATGGGTGAAAAAACACTTCGAAATTTTATCGTCTCATTT